ATACCTTCTGTTGATGAATTCGCATTTCATCAGTGAAACATGCCTGTTACCAGAGCTCAAATTATAACCCAAAATATGTGTCTGCCAACTTGTTTTATTATAGTATCAATTTGGAATATGAATATGTTCTATATCTCTAAATACAATGTGAGTTCATTGAATTATTGTGAAGAGCATCTGATTAGCATTCCTTAAAAACATGAGATTTCCTCCTATAAGGTTCCAAACATGGCTGTAACCATATGTCCGTCACACAAGCTCTTTTTAAATGAAATTTCATTATTTATCATTCTATAGCTTATTTGTCACTCAAATATATTTCAAGTAGATATTTTAAATGTAGTTCTATATCATTACATACAGATCTACTCTGTATTTTCTTTACTAGCCAAGTAGTACTCTATTGATGACACACTATTATTCAATCATTTACTGACTGGTGAATATGTTATTTCTAGTTGCTGTGCTCAATGTGATGTTTCTGAGAGGTTTTAGAGTACAATTTCTATTATATTTATGTCTTCTTCTCCCTCTTTCTCTCCTGCTCTCCTCTCATCTCTCTCCCAGGGTCTCTCTCCCTCAACTGGGAATAAATAATCCTACCAAGGTGGGCATGGACCACTATGCCTAGCGTCTTTTATTCTTAACTTGTAAGATGTTTAAAATTTATCAATATGTTTTTTGTATCCACACAACATACATTTTTCCCTCTAATTTGTCATACAGATGGAATAACCTTTAACTTGCTCAATTTGTAATATGAACACTGAATTTGATTTATTATTTTGTTTTGCAATATGACTTCTATCAAAAGAGAGCCTATTTTCTTTTCCCTTGAAATAGCGCAGGCTTCTAGACCTGTTTTGACTTACGGAATGCAAAAGTGATGTCACATCACTGTAGCAAATGGCAGCTCCGTGCCTGCAGCTGTAGCCCTTGCTTCTTGGGATACCCCTGCTTTCAGTCCAGATCTCACATTACCAAGAAGCTCAGGTGAGCGTATTGAGGTCCAGGTGGAGGAAGACTAAGCCCTCTGCCAAAAGCTCTAGCTGAGTTCTGAGCCAGCAGCCAGCACCACCTGCCAAGCACGTGTGAGGCTATTCTGAACCCTCCAGCCACCACATACCCCCATAACAGCACACAAAGCAAGAAATGTCTGGTCAGTGTGCAAAAATAAATTATTGTTTTAAACTACGTAAGTTTTGAGAGAGTCTGTTAGGAGAAATCTGTCCCTTCAAACAAAGGACTAAATGTTAGAGCAGAATCTGATGGTCAAGTTAGTCCTCCCTCCATCAACTCTTCTTTCATTCAGATGAATACTGACTGAACATACACTATGCTAGATGTTGAGACAAACAAAGAAGACCAAATTTCCATAAGTCCTGTCCTTGTGGAACTCACCATGTGGATGGCGACACAGACATTAATACAGAAATCTAAGTACATGGTGCATCGTAACAGTGGTGGTGCTACTGAAAACTAGCACAAGGTGCTCTGCTCTGAGAGACCCCAGTGGAAAACTGACCTTATCAGGGAGGTCAATAAAAGCAGTCAGGACTAAACTCAGATCTGCAGGAAGATTAAAAGTTAATGAGGCAGAGGGATAATAAGAGGCCTTCACACACAGAGCTCAACACATGCAAAAGGTCTGTGGCAAGAAGAGGGTATGTTCAAGCTTTAGATCCACACAAGATAGCTGGAAGCTGGTTAAAAAAAAGAGAAAGAAAGAAAGCCAGCAAGCAAGCCAGTCAGCAAGCAAGCAAGCAAGCTAGCCTTGCCATGTAAGACTGTAGTGCCCATAAGAACGGACTTATTAAAGTAAACAACTAATCCCACTTCAGATTTTCCTCTTCAATCCCCAGTATAAACACAACTTGGAGTACTCTATATACAAACTGTATGTTCAATGACACCCATGGTTCCCTATAATACTCAGGACATAGGTCACTGTACCCACCCCCTTGGCACTTTCACTGTATTATTTGCATACATCTCTGTCTCCATGACTACGCTATAAAATCTTTGAAGTAAAGGAGCTGTGTGCCTCATTGCTTTTTTCATTGTTTACCCATAATATTCAACACAGTGTTGGGGGCAGAGCAAATATTTCAGTGCTTCCTACACATGTAAAACATGGAAAAACAATCCATTCATAAATAGCCTGTCAGAAAGGATGTCCTGGGAGGAAATTCTATAGCCACACTTAGAAAGCCATTCTGATGATATCAATATTCCTAGGGAAAGCTTGCTGTAAAACATTGTTTCTTTCTAATTTTAGCAAATTTTTTAGTGTCATCCTCAATGAAGAGCAAGAACACTCCATCACATTTCCAGAGAATGCCTGTCTGTGTATTTTGAAGATCATTTCTGGGTCACCCGTAGAGATCTCTTCTTTCGAAAGCAAAATGTTTAATCTTCTCACCTTTCCTCAAAGAAGCCATTTAGTAGTTCCCCGGATTCATTCCAAAACCTCCATCCCGCCCAAATTGTGGAAGCTGGCAACCTAGTAGACCAGGAAACAAGGTCAAAGATGCCTGAGGGAATTTGTGAGCTGGCCTCAGGGCGAGGGCAAGCTGCTTATTTTCAGGCCAACCCAGATGTATACACACGTGCCTGTGTACACACGTGTACAGGTTATTACACAAGCAATGAAACTCTTCTATTGGCTCAAAGAACAAGGGTTGTTTTATTAACTTTGTCAACTGTCCTTTTACCATCAGCCCAGTCTTCAACACCTGATGGGTCCCATTGGTGATTTTTAGTGAAAGTTTTCTCTCCCTGTGTTTTAAACGATATGACAAGGAAATGAACTGCACTGTTTTTATCTTATGTCCACTATCTTCTTCCAGTGCAGAGGAACTGACCAAATAGTGAACTAAACATCATCAAAAAAGGCCCATCACTTGAACATATTAAGAATTTAAATATCAATAACTTAATGGTCATTCTACAAATACTGAGGCTTGAGTAACACAAACAGCTGTTGTGCTTTTTTCTAAAAAAAAAAAAATTCTTTGGCATTTGGGTGACAACTGTCCAATTTCATTCCAAAGATACTGCTAAATTCCACTTTGACTAATTTTTCATTTCATCAAAGAAACATAAATCTCTAGTTTTTTATTGTTGCCCTTACAGAATTCTGTATGACACCATTTAAACGACATAATGTACAAGTTACTCACTGAGCTCTAAGAGTGCTCAAAAACTTAGACACTACTTTTGGGCCAAAAAATAGGAAGACTGAAATTAATTGCTAAATATAATTTAATCATTTTATAAATGAAACCCAGTTTCACAAAGTCATGAAATATATTTATTGTCAAAACCTGCAGCAATCCAAATTACTCCCAAAATTACCTTTGTACTTTTGTTTTACATTTTTAAGCCAGCAAATAGAAGCACACTTTATAAGAGGTTATACATGCATTATCTTAAGCATTTATTAGCACAGAGGAAATAAAAATACATTTTTTTTTGTGCTTGGAGGACTAAAGCATTAGTGCAGTTGATGATGTAAATTCAAAACTTATAGTCAAAGAGCTCACAAAATAAACACCCTGTAACAAATCTTTATTTCCAAGAATATGCAACAAGAAAGCATTACCAAAAAGAGGCACCTACAAAATCAGCATCAACACAACTTCAACAGTTGCATAGTATCAATTTTTTAAAGATGAACACTGTCTTTACCTTTTCAAACACATCCTCTAACCATTACAAAGAGAATAGTGTACTTTCATAACCAATACAGAATCCAAAATATGAACGATGCACATTAAGTGCTCACTGAACTAAACAGTAGTAATCATTTCTTTCTGAAGAAAAGAAAATATTGTATAATAAGTATTGCCCAAATGTGCTTGACAGGCACTTTAGAAGAGTCAGACTCCAATTTTGAGTCTAAAGCTTATTCTACATTAAGACATATCCTTAAATTGATGGTAATCATGAGAGAAAACCGCAGCTGCCATCACAGGTTAGAAAGAATTACACAATATTGTGACTGACCTAGAGAAAAAGACCTTCTCAAGGTCATTCTAGCAGCCCAGAGCAGAACATGGGATTTAAAAAAAGCTTCTTGGTGCCATCACCAAACTTCCTGAGTCGCCCCAGAAGCACACACCACAACAGTTTCAGCTCTAAAGAGAGATCAAGGTGACTTGCTTGTGCAGGATTTCTCCCACACGTAACAGCTAGGGGTGGTTTCATTTACAGTACATGGGTAGCAGCAGGAACACTGAGGACCAACTGCCTACGCCAAGGTGAAAGGCACTTAAGCATTACTGAGCAGTACCAGTGATGCTTGGCTCAAACAATTCGCACTAGAACCACGCAGAAGAAAGCAAACACACACACACACACAAAAAAAAAAAAAAAAAAACAAAAAAACACCAAACACAAATTGTGGTGCCACCAGAACTCAGGAACTAAGCCTTAGCTTAGTACGGAGGTCGGCTTAACCTCAGATCTGGTGCGTCCCTATTAAGTGGACCACAAAAGCGGTCTCCCCAAAGAGAGAACAAACTTTCTGCTCAAAATGTCTTTCTTTTGAACAGAGCTCAAAGATCCCTCCCAACAAAAGTATTCAAAATAGGACAAAAATAGAAGCGCACTACCACCACCACAAACGCACACCCACAATCAAACCAGGTCGCCGGCCCCGGGGTCTGGCTATTCCAAGACGACTTACACCACTTAGAGTCGTCCTCTCCGCCCAGCCGGTGCAAACACAACCCTTTCTAGCTCTGAAATTCCACGTCCCTGTCTCCGCCGACCTGTGTCCATGAGACCAAACTAACTTCCCGAAGCCATGGACACACCCGGACCCGCACCCAGCGAGCCAGGCTACCCCGAGAGCTCGCGGCGCGCTCGCGGCGCGGACTCCGCGCTCGGGAGCGGAGCGCAGGGGACCAAGCGGGGCTCAGGGGCGCGGCCGGCACCTGCGCTCCTAGTCCGGCGGCCGCTCGGCCTCCCGCCCGCTCGCCGCCGCCTGCGCCTACCTGTCTGAGGATGAAGCTGGTCGAAGTGGTGCTGCCATCGGATCTTTTCAACCTGCTCCGCCGGGTCGTGGTGCCTCGGGCCACCTGGACTCGACACATGGGGCCAGAGAGAAGCCAGTGAGGACCGCGGCGAAGAGCAGGGCAACCACCCCCGGCCTGGGTCCGCCCGCTGGAGACCCGCGCCCCCAGGGCCCCCCAGAGCTCGCCCCCGAGTCTCCTCCGCGTCTCCCCGCGGCCGCCCTCGCCCCCACCCACCCGCTCCAAGCCTGGACGGCCGAACGGACTCCCGCGCGGCGCGGCGCAGCCCGCAGGCACCCACCACATCCATTAACAAAGACTCTCGGGGTGCGGGGTCCGAGCCCCGGCATCGGCTGCGGGAGGCTGCAGGCTCCGGAGCAGGAGCCGGAGACGGACGAGGGTGAGGAGGAGGAGGTAAAGGAGGAGGAGGAGGAGAAGAAGGAAGGGGAGGAGGAGGAGATAAAGGGAGGAGCGGGAGAAGGAGCGGAGGAGGCGGGCGCGGGCGCGGGCTCCGGACTGGGGCCGGCACTCGGGCGCCGAGGCGGGGCGCTCTCGGGCCGCGGGGAGGAGGACGCGGTGGAGGAGGAGGACGGGGCGGTACCTGCGCGGAGGGGGAGTGCGGCCCGTCCGCCGTCCCGTGCCTGGCGTGGGAGGAGGACATGGCTCAGCGCCGCCGCATGGCCCGGCCGGGCGCGGAGGGCGAGGTGAGCCGAGGCGGACAGGGCGGCTGCCCGCGTGGCGGTGCGGTGGCGGGGCGCGAGGCCAGGGCTTCCCCGCCCGCTCGGCCCGCACCGCGCCGCTCCTGCTGGGCTCCCGCCTGCACTTCGCGGAGCGCCGCACCTTAAAGGGGCCGAGGCGCTTCCTCGCGCCCGCAGCAGGGGGCCTGGGAGGGGGCTTTGCGGGATCGCGCCTGTCGGAGCCTGGCCCAGCCAGGGGAAGAAGCGCTCTCCCTCCCAGCCTGCGCGCTACAGCACAGCTTTCCAGAGGATGCAGTGAGGGGAGAATCTGTGATGGGGGTGGGAGGATTAAAATAGTCTGCACAGTTTAAAATGAGACAAAGGTGGCACGGTTCATGAATCAGGACTTGGAGAGGGAGGCTGGTGCAGTGTGGCGAGGAGTGGGAAGAACCGAGGGGTAGGATCCTGTGTGTGTGTGTGTGTGTGTGTGTGTGTGTGTGTGTCCGTCCCTGCGCTGAAATTTTAAAAGGGCAAGAGCCAAACCTTCCCTCCACGAGTTAACTCATCAGCCTGCTGTGGTAAGCAAAGGGGTTTTGTGGTTTGCTTTTTGTCCTGTTTTGTATTGTTTATGTATGTCCAGCCCCAGCCTGGAGTCCTACACAATCAGCCGTGGGAGACCCTGCCAGCCAGAGTCTGACAGGAGCTGCAGCCCAGCAAGAAACCAGTATATCCTAAGGAGTTTTGAAGGTCACATTAGACCTGCTAAAAAGCAAGAGTTGGCCACGTGCCTTCCATTTGTAGCTGATAGCTGATTCCAAGTGAGGAAACTCAGCCTTCAAATCACACACAACCTTGGTTCCTCTTGAAAACACACACGAGATTAATTTCAGATCAAATTTAAAAGCAGGCGATTGTGGAGAGCGAAATTAGAATTAACACAAAAAATAAGTGAACTCAAAAGTAGATTCCGTTTAACTTTAGTCACTGCAACAAAAATCCATCGTTAAAAATGTATAGCACTTCAAACCCTAAGTCAGCCCAAATCACCTTGCGTTCTAACACTGTCCGGTAACAAGTGTTTGGCTTAGCCTCTGTTTGGCTGTATTTTAACATCACCCAGACTTATTTAAACATCTAGCAGACACTTCCTTTCCATTCTTATCTCTTCACTTAGTTGACTTTCTGTAGATCTTTTTAACTGCTTCCTTGATTCCAGCTCCCTACTGCCAGCCACATGCATGTACACATAAGCACATACGTCATTCAATCTGCACATTACCCGCAAAGCCATTCTCTTCGTCTCTTTTTCTCAGGTTACTTTAACATAAAGTCAAACTGTGGTCCAGCAACCAAGCCTGTCTGCATTTCTGGTCACTCACCACCTCAGGGCTCCACCAGGATCTCTTCACAAACCTTCCAGTAAGCAGGCACGTCTACTGACCGTTATTACCTAAACCAAGTATGTACAGCCCCACACCAGCACTCCTGCCTTGCAGCGCCTCCTGGGATATGCCCTCCATACAACCTACCCACCATGCTGAATTCTACCCTTCCCCAAGCCTTCTTCAGCTCACTGTTCCCCAACAGAAATCCTCCCTGACCCCACAGTCCTGGATAGTCCCGGTGACCCTGAAAAACTGGAGTATTGATTCTCTGGGCACTTGGCATAGGCTGCCTTTAGTTTATTCGTTCTCTTTTCTCTAAAATCTAATTTCCGAAAGATTATTAGCTCCTTATCTTCTATTTCTCTACCTTGTATATAGCAAACACTACATAAAGTTTACAGGCAAGAATATGTCTAATAATGCAAAATTCCTGCTTTCGTTATCACCACCCAATCTGTTTTTAGTTCTAATCCATCTTTATAGTTGACATTTAATCAATCTATATAATGAATTAATATGTGGGAACTGGAACTGTAATGTTCTGATTTTCCCCTGCCCACAGTCTCTCTGACTTTGAATTATCAAACAATCTAAAGCAACACAGCTGCATGAGGAGCTCCAGCCACTTTCCTCAGAAACCTGAAGAAAAGCATTAACATATAATGGTGTAAATCCATGGCAATGGGTTTAAGGGTACACAATAAAAAAAAAATTTATTCAATAAAACTTACTAAAACCCAGTGAAAAAAGTGAGAGTCTGTGGCATTTGATCCTAGACCCACTCCCTGCATCTTCTCAGCTCAAAGCTGAAACCCCACACAGGTGAGGGCTCCTCTCAGCTCCCTGCTAGATTGCTATCTCCCTGGAAGGACGGGACATCAGCGTTTATCACCCTGCCCCCAGGTACCTGATGCTGTGACTAAGTTCTGAGCAAACATGGGAGAGAGCTGCAGGCCACCTTTTGCCCAGCCCTAATGAAGGGATGGAGGCTACACCCTGGGCACAGTTCCACTAAGAATACCAGCACCATAATGGAACTTAGTCCTGACCCATGGAGAGGCAGGCCAGGAGACCTCTACTAGGCACTCAGCTCCTGAGTGGGAGCGTCACTGAGAGGGAAATCCACATTATCTGTACCCCCACACCAGGGCAGCATGAAGCAGCACCCTTAGCTCACATGTATAAAAATATCTCGAAATATAAAACTAGAAGAAAACATAAGAGTAAATATCTATGCCCTTGGGCTTGGTGATATACCTTACCTATAACATCAAAATCACAAGCAAGAGGAAAACCTAACTAGACATTAACACTGAAAACTTTTGTGCTTTTTTGAAAGAGTAACACCAAGAAATTAAGACAACGCACAGGAGAAAATGTTTGCTAAATGGACAAAAGGTTTGAGAAAAGGTAAATAATTTTCCTTAAAAATATATCTATATATTATACATATATATATATATCTGTAGCCAATAAAGCATATGAAAAATGTTCAGTATTAATCATCAGAAAAATGCAAACAAAAACCACAATAAACTATTAACATGATTTGAGTTACTTGATACAAAACTCAGGTTGAAATTTAATTGCCATTGTAACTGTACTAAGAGATGGAACCTTGAAGGGGTGATTCAGTGCTCAGGGCGCCGCTCTGATGGCTGGAATTGATACACTGATGGTTGCACATATTCGTGCATGTACTAAAAACCACTGACTTGGCTGGACATAGTGGCACAGATTCAGGTACACTCCTGTTGGCCTAGATGGGAGAATCACAAGTTCCTGGCCAGTCTGAACAACATAGCATGCCCCCATCTCAAGAAAGGAAAAATAAATTAAAATGTGTATTTCAGGGCTGGGGAGATAGCTTGGGGGTCTAAGCGCCTGCCTGGCAAGCGCAAGTACCTGGGTTCGATCCCCAGTACCACATGCCACACAGGCCCTGGAACCTGCGGCATGCCGTGCCAACCACCAAAACTGAGTGAGGTGTCACATGCCTGTAATCTCAGTGCTGGGGAGGCTGGGACAGGAGAATCACTGAGTCCAAGCTGCATAGCAAGACCCTGTACCAAATAAATAAATAAAATATTTTAAAATGTGTATTTTAAATTGTAAGGGATGTGAATTAGATATCAGTAAAGCTATTATTTGAATCCTGAGATCTTAAAAATTGAACTCATAATGGATCACAGAACCAAGTGAAATAGGAAAACTAAAAAAAAAAAAAAAAAAGGAAAAATCATGTGTTCTTTATATTTTTTTATTCTGCTCTTGTTGATTAGGTCTTAGTTTATCAGCACCTAAAGAATGATCCAAGAAGGTGAAATCTTTTGTAGGGTTTAAAATTAAAACTTCTAGCAAGGCATGGTTGCATGTGCCTGTAATCCCATCACTCTGGGAAACTGAGGAAGCAGGATCACAAGTTTAAATCCATCCCAGATGACTTAGTGACTTAGCAAGACCTGTCCTCAAAACAAAAATTTTAAAAGAGCTGGGGATGTAATTCAAGGCGAAGACCCTAGGCTTAATCCCCAGCACCACAGGATGATAATAATAGTAACAACACTTTTGCTAAAGACTATTAACAGAATGAAAAAAGAAGCTACAGGGGCTGGGGAGATGGCTCAGTGGAATAAGTGCTTCCCTGGCAAGCGCAAGGGCCTGAGTTCAATCCCTGGTTCCGCCAAAAAAAAAAAAAAAAAAAAGGAAGCTACATACTGGGAGAAAATATTTGCAAGACACAAACCTGATAAAGAACTTGTAAATAAAATATACAAGGAGTTCTTAAAAATCAAGAATAAGAAAATAACCTAATTAAAAATTTAAAAATGCTGCATACACATCTTACCAAAGAAGCCATAGTTTTCAGGGTAGCCATAAAGACAGCAAATATGCCTTTAAAGGATGCTCACATTTGCCATTAGGATTCTGAGTAAAGCAACGTAATACTACCACCGTACACCATCAGAATGGCTTTACACTGAAACAAACCAAATGACAATACCAAATGCTTTAAGGATGAAGAGCAACAGGAATTCTCATTCCCCACTGACAAGGATGCTAAAAGGGCCAGCCACTGGGAAAGGCAGTTTAGCAGTTTCTTAATAAGCTACACTATCTTACCATTTCCAGTAATTTGTGTCAAAGTTATTTATGCCACTTACCTGAAAACTTAAGTCCACAAAAATGCTAGCATGTAAAAGTTTATGCAGCTTTATTTATAATAGCCCCAAGGGGGGAAGCACCAAAATATTCCTCAGGAGGATGAATGGATAAAACCAACTATGGCTAAGTGTACTGTGGTTGCACTAACAAGCCATGAAAAAACATAATCCTCAACTTC